GTCTGGGGGTCAGAGCCTGATGATACTAACTTCTCAACCAGGAAGGAAAATTATTTTCTGGGATAGGACGGGAATACTGACTCAGCCTAATTGTATTTGTAGGAGATAATGCTAAACCAGCTGTGTTATTAAGACTGTAAAGTGTTGGGAAAAATTTGTTTAGATTACACCCTCAGGCCAGAATCACTCACAGAGCTAATGCCCAAGGGTTTTCCTTTGAGTTGTAGGTGGGAAAAAAGTGGGAGTCAAGTTCCAGCCACCTTCGTGGGCTGGCCCCAGTCTTGTGAGGACAGACTGGTTCTGAATGGGGTTTATCGGGAGAGGACCAATCTCATCAGAGAATTCCTGGAGAGAGGGTAAACTGTGGAGCTCCACAGGCCCAGCTGGGTATAAACTTGGGCTCTGTTATGGCCCTGCTTGTGTGAGGCTTTAAAACTTTAAAACTCAGACCAGGGGCGCCTGGGTGGCTCAGTCGTTAAGCGTCTGCCTTCAGCTCAGGTCATGATCCCAGGGTCCTGGGATCGAGCCCCGCATCGGGCTCCCTGTTCCGCAGGAAGCCTGCTTCTCCCACTCCCCCTGCTTATATTCCCTCTCTCACCATCTCTCCCTGTCAAATAAATAAATAAAATCTTTAAAACTGAGCTGTCCCTAGTTACAAGGGACTGTTTTAGAGGAAGTGAGCCTCCCAACATTGAAGGCAACCAAGTGGGTGACCACTTCAAGGAGGCGTTGTAAGGAAACTCCATCATGACTTGCAGGAAGGGATGATGTAACCCTTAACTCTCGTCTAGGTCAGAGATTTAAACTAGTTACCAGCTGGTTACTCAGTCCCTCAGCCTTGACGGCTAAGTGTCCAACATCTGCTCCTCCTATGAGGCTTGGGAGGAAAACAGTGCCAACCTCACAACTGCAACCAGTCCCTTTCCCCATCCTCAGTCTCCTCATCTGGGCTGCCTGTCCACCCGGAAGTGCCCATTGTGGACCCGAAAGACCTTTGCAATCAGCCACTTATTGTCAGACCATGGAATAAGCTACTTTGCTCTTCTGGGCCTCAGTTCCTCATCTTTAAAATAGGGATAACATTAAGGGTTAGAAGAGAAGATATGAAAGTGTCCCACCCAGAGTTTGGTCCGTGGCCCAAAAAAGCAAAAGATAGTTTCCTCCACTCCCCCTGGACGTGAACAGCACATACTTCTCACTCATCTACCAAGAAGCTGCAATTGTTTAGCAACCAGTAGTTTGGACACTGAAGGTCAACAGAGAGGTCATTCTGCAAGGGCAAGTAGGCCAACCCTCCTTATCTCCTACCTCCAATCTTCAAGGCTCTTATAAGGGGCTCTGAGGTACTCAAAATGAAGAGGATGTGGCACCTGGCCCAGCAGTGAACTAGCAGCAGGTGTTCAATAGATGTGTCTGAAGTCGATGAGTGGGGTACGCACAGGTCTAAAGAGGTAGGGCCTGTGAAGATTTCCAGATGCCAGATCCTATCCTTGCCACCGCCCCCCCCAGAGCCACTTCCACATAAAGCTAAGCTTTTGGGAGCCCTTTGTGATAACGTCACTGCATTCCCTGGAGGCACAATATGACAAACACTTCTGTGGCTGTTCAGTGATAAATTCAGGTTTCAAAGCTGAACAGAGCCTTAGGAGTCAGATGCAAGCTCCACTTTACAGATGAACTGAGGTCTGGAGAGGTTGGGTAGCTTTTGCAAGTCTGCGGTAGTACCAGCATTAGAGCCCAGCAGGAATCCTGACTCCTAGTCCAGTGCTCTTCCTCGGGCCCAGGCAAGCTCACTATGCTGTGTGCAGAAACACTATCGTGGGTGGCAAGGCCAGGGGTCCACCATCAGGCTCAGGGCATCTCGGGGCTATGTCTCCTTTATCAGACTGCAGGCTCTTTTGGGATAGGGGTTGTGTCTCCTTCATCACACTGGGGACTCCCACTTAGATTAGAGCCCAGGAATCCACTTAACAGACCCCTTACTGTGTGCCAATCACTGTGGATAGAGAGACGAACAAAGCTGGGTATGCACTCTAGAAAGGCTCAGAGTCTGACACAGACACAGTTCCACTTTCCTTGCTCCCACCCTGAACCTCGCAAGGTATGGGGGCGCAAAGTGGAGAGAGGGAGGTTGGTGTGAGGTCGGGCAGAGCCTGGGAACTCCATGGGCTGCCCACAGCCAGCATAGTTCCTTGTTCTCTCCAAGTCCCAGAGGGACGCTCACTGTCTGGGTAGAGGAAAATCTCACCAGCTGCAGACGACACCCCACCGGGGCCTTGGGAGCAGGGCCAAAGGGCTGGTCCTCATCCCAGCCTTAGAACAACGAACCCCCACCTTGGGTGGCCCCCTCCCCAGTGCCTGGCTGCTGAGGGTCGGAGCTGGGGGTGTGCATAGTGTCCCAACCCACTGAAGCCAGGGCTGGACTTGTGAAAAATTGGCACTGGGAGCCAGCTTTAGCTGGGAAGAGTTGCTCTCCTTCCACTCCTCTCAGGAGAGGGCCAGGCAGTGGCTCTATCTGTTGTGTCTGCCAGTTACCAGGTGCCTGGAATAGACCGTTTGGGAGGAAATTGTTCCCCTGGGGGTCAGCCCTTCCCCAACCCTGTTCCTTGGCTTGGGCCTGGCAGGAGGCAGCTGTATCCCTGCCCTAAGGAAAGGCTAGTACTGGGCTGGGCGGCAGACGTGGTTCAATTCAGTCCCACATCTTTGTTCATAACAAGGAAAAGCCCATGCCCTCTGTGGGCCTCCTTTTCCTCACCTGTGAAATGGGAATAGTCAGACACTTTCTCCCTATCCCTGGGGCCACCAGCAAGGACAGAATCAGGACTGGGCACCGCAGAGTCCACTGACCTCCAAGACAGGGACTGTCATGCTTTCGGCCAAAATGTCTGGCCTCAGGGAAGGAGAGAGTCTGGCAGAGGGCCTGGGATAGTATTTGTGAGGACTCCTGCCCACCCCCTCTATCTCCTCCTACTCTTCCTGTCTAGTCCCTGGGGCAGAGTGTCCCGGATATTTCTGGCTGCCTCCTCCAGGCCTTTGGCTTCCCAGGCTCATGCAAGTGGTCCCCATATCCCAGCCTTGCTTTGATGGAGTGAACTGGATGGGCGTTCCTGGCAGAAGAGGCACATTTGTGTCGGGTCTGCAGATTCATATGCGAGGATCTGTGCATGTGTGTGTGTCCTAGGGGTGAAAGAAGTTCCCCTGCCCCCTCCCAACTCTGGCTCTGTCATTGGAAGCCACTGCATCCTCCTGAAGAAAGCCTGTAGTTGAACATGTCCTGAATGGCAGATACCATCCTACACGGGTCTGAGCCTCAGTTTCCCCGCCTGTACAATAAGGTGGCAGGAGAAAATAATCACTAAGCTCTCTTCCACCTGACATTTTGGAAACCAAAGTCTTAGCTGGTCACCCAGGAAAGTTCTTTGCAGTAGGGAAAATGCCCTGGGGTGGGCAGCAGGAGGCCTGGGGCTGTCTGCCCCAAGCTACGTGACCCTGAGCAATTCCCTTTTTGGTCCTCCACTGTAAATGAAGGGGTTAAACCATATGAGCCTGAAGTTCCTTCCAGTTGTGACCTCCTGGCAAGAGCTGAATACCCAGCGTTTGTAGCACAGACAGGCAGCAGAGCACGGTGGTTAGGGCCACATGCTCTACAGTCAGACTGGCTGCAAGCCAGTCCAGGCTCTGCCACTCTCTGACCATGTGACCTTGGGCGTGTGATTAAACTCTTGGTGCCTTCCTTAGTCTCTGCATCCATGAAATAGAAACTCATAGTTTCTGTAAGCAATACATGGGTAACTATGTAGTAAATGAAGCAAAATGATAGTATCTATTCGTAGGATTATTGTAAGGACTGTAGGAGTCAAAGTGCTTACAAAAGTGTCTGACACACAGTGCAAGTTCAGTGTTAACTATTATTATTTCAAGAAGCCCTTCCCCTTCCCATCTATAGACATACGATCCCCTCAGCAACCCCACTTACCTTTTCCCGAGGTCCAGAAAACAGCAATGGATGGATGAGCGGGGAGCAGACATCAGCTTCCCGTTCCCAAACCAAGTCAGGGAGTACTTCCACATTGAGAGGTTTATTGGACGCTCACCTGCTACCCTCCCATTTCCACAGAGAAGGAAATCAAGGCTGAAAAGGAGATTGAACTAGTTCAGAGTCAGGGGCAGAGGTTCAAGCTAAATGAGGTCCTGTTCCATGGGGCGCCTGGGTGGCTCAGTTGGTTAAACCACGGACTCTTGATTTTGGCTCCTGCAGGTCATGATCTCAGGGTCATGACATTGAGTCCCGCATTGGTCTCAGACCTCAGCACCAGTCTGCTTGAGCTAGCCATTCCCAAGCGCTCGCGTGCACTCTCTTTCTCCCTTAAATACATACATACATACCTACATACAATCTTTAGAACCTGCTCCAGACGTCAGTCTGGTCCACTCCATCTTGCTCCCCTTCTCCCTCTAGTGCCCAAGTACCTCGGCCCCCCACCAATCAATGGGGTGGGCTAGGTATGAATCCAGTCCTTGCTTCTTCCCAGCTGAATGACCTTGTACAAGTCATGCAATTTCTCTAAGCCTCAATTCAAACACTTTATGGCTATTGTCCCAATACCATGAGAGAGGTGTTATTATTGGTCACATTCTGAGGAAACAAGGTCAGAGTTAGGGTACTTGTACAAGAACATACAGCCGCTTTAGTGCAGGTTAAATAGTGGAACCTTTGTAAGCAGCCCTCACAGTGCTCCGCATGCGGTAGGTACTCAATATGTATGTAGTCACTATTGTTACTATTTCCCATCGGAAAGTGAGTGACCCTGCAGGTCTCCTGATGCCCGCGGGCTCACAGCCATCCAGCCTGCCGGCCACCACGTCACATGAGCCGCACTATCTTTAGCCAGGAAGATATTTATATCCCCCTGGAAGTTTTTTCCCTTCCAGGGGAGCCCCAGAGTCTGCGGCCGCTGAATCCAGGCCCCCGGCGGCGGCCCCCGCCCTTCCGGCTCGCCATGCCACGGGCCCCAGAGGTCCCCCCGGTGCAGGTGTGGGTGGGCGGCCAGCTCTTCCAGGCGGACCGGGCCCTGCTGGTGGAGCACTGTGGCTTCTTCCGCGGTCTCTTCCGCTCCGGCATGCGAGAGACGCGCGCGGCCGAGGTGCGCCTGGGCGCGCTGAGCGCTGGCGGCTTCCACACCACGCTGCAGGTGCTGCGCGGCGAGCGGCCGGCGCTGGCGGCCGACGAAGAGCTGCTGCAGGCCGTGGAGTGCGCCGCCTTCCTGCAGGCGCCCGCGCTGGCGCGCTTCTTGGAGCACAGCCTCACGTCGGACAACTGCGCGCTGCTGTGCGACGCGGCCGCGGTCTTCGGCCTACACGACGTGTTCCGCACCGCCGCGCTCTTCATCCGCGACGGCGGGCGCGGGCTGGCGGCCGAGCTGGCGCTGCCCGAGGCCCGCGCCTACGTGGCGGCGCTGCGGCCCAGCAGCTACGTGGCCGTGAGCACGCACACGCCGGCGCCCGGCTTCCTGGAGGACGCGTCGCGCACGGTGTGCTACCTGGACGAGGAGGAGGACGCGTGGCGCACGCTGGCCGCGCTGCCCCTGGAGGCCAGCACGCTGCTGGCGGGCGTGGCCACGCTGGGCAACAAGCTGTACATCGTGGGCGGCGTGCGGGGCGCCAGCAAGGAGGTGGTGGAGCTGGGCTTCTGCTACGACCCGGACGGCGGCACGTGGCGCGAATTCCCCAGCCCGCACCAGCCGCGCTATGACACGGCGCTGGCCGGCTTCGATGGCTGCCTGTATGCCATCGGCGGCGAGTTCCAGAGGACGCCCATGAGCTCTGTGGAGCGCTACGACCCGGCCGCAGGCTGCTGGAGCTTCGTGGCTGACCTGCCGCAGCCGGCCGCGGGCGTGCCCTGCGCCCAGGCGCGTGGTCGTCTCTTCGTGTGTCTATGGCGGCCGGCAGACACCACGGCTGTGGTGGAGTACGCTGTGCTGGCGGACACGTGGCTGCCGGTGGCCGAGCTGCGGCGTCCGCAGAGCTACGGCCACTGCATGGTGGCCCACCGCGACAGTCTCTACGTGGTGCGCAACGGACCTAAAGACGACTTCCTGCACTGCGCCATCGACTGCCTCAACCTGGCCACGGGCCAGTGGACGGCACTGCCTGGCCAGTTTGTCAACAGCAAGGGAGCGCTCTTCACGGCGGTGGTGCGCGGCGACACGGTCTATACGGTCAACCGCATGTTTACGCTGCTCTATGCCATCGAGGGTGGCACCTGGAGGCTGCTCAGGGAGAAGGCCGGCTTCCCACGGCCCGGCTCCTTGCAGACCTTCCTCCTTAGGCTGCCTCCTGGCGCCCCGGGGCCTGTGGCCTCAACGACACCAGAACTGTGATCCTGGGCTGGCCTTTAGGAGGGTCTATCCCGGAGTCTTCGCTGAGCCGTGGCTGGGTCTGCAAGGCTGGCCTTTGGAGCTGCATGGAACTTCTGTCTCCCGGGTTGGGACATGCAGGTCTTGGGCCTTGTGGTGATCAGTCCAAGAAATTCAGAGAGTAATAACGAGGCTGGGGTCTGAACCCTCAAATTACTTGGGCTCTGCTGAGAGGTGGTGGGTCACAATGCCAGTGGAATGTGTCGGGGGTAGGATTTCAATAATCCAGGCTTGGGTGTGAATGGGCCAATAATTGAGCATGGCTAGGAGGGAGTTAAGTGATGTTAATCCAACTGCCAGTCAGTTGGCAAGAATTAGGCACCTAGTGTGTGCCCAGTAGAGTGCTAGGCCTAATGTAGCTGTAGTTGCTAGAGGAGTCCAGAAAGCCTAGAGTCTAGCCCAAGACAATTAAAGGTTTACACGCACTTGTCTTGATCCCCTGAGGGCTAAAGGCAACATGCAAAACAAAAAACTCACAATGGAATAAAACAGTATCGAAGAAATCAGAGCAAAAGGAAAATAGGGAGAGGAAAAAATACATAACTCCAGGAAGGAGGTTAGATAATATACGAGGGGTATGAAGAAGACAGGCAGGGTAATTAGCTGCTGCAGGGGAGGTTCAGACGGTGGAGACAGAGCTCAGAAGAGGAGATGCGGGAAAGCTGGAACAGATGGGAAGAGGCTCTGCGAGCCCAAGCTTTAAGGCAGAACAGCTCGGGATGGAGGCATTTGGCGGGGTGGGGAGGCTGGCATGGCTTGTAGAGACAATAACTGAGCTGAATCTGGAATGACACCTGTAAGAGAGAAAGGGCTCCCCACACCCCCTCACAGGAAGCGGACCGGTAGGGAAGAAAGTTGCAAGCCCTTGCCCACTCCCTTTTTGGCCGTCACCCTGTGGGTGGTGGATTATTAACTTCCATGACTTTAGGTCATTCGAGGCAGGAGCCCAATCCTGGCCAGGTCTAACTGCCTCCTCCTCCTCATTCTGCAGGTTAATTCTCTCCTCCAAGCCTCTGCTGCCGCCATTCTCTAGGCCTGGAATGCCTTTCCTCTTCCCCCGCCCCTCTTTTGGCTCTGTACCCACCTCCTCTGTGCAGGGGTTGGCTGTTCCCGACCTTGGCCGTCTGCATTGCTCATTGGGCCCCTGACTGACATCGTTTAGCATATGTGTGAAACTGTGCACGTGTGTAGATAGCAAGGGCAGAGATCCTGCTTTGCTATCAACTGACCTGGGCACTTCCCCACCTACAGAATCAAATGATGAGGTCCTGAAACAAGCCAGGCCGTAGAGGCTGTCCTACTTAGGGACCTGGTGTAAGAGGAGGACTCTTGTCCCTCCTTTAGAATACTCCATCCTGATTTCTGGTCATGTGCCTACCCTAGTCCTTCAGCTTCTCCATGCCCTGAGTGTCCCAGATGGTTTCCATCCTCCAAGACCTGAGGCCCGTGGGAAATCCTAGCCTCATCAGAATTATAGAATGCAGCCTCAGCATGGAACCTAGTGTCAGGGCTGCCCCTAGCTGCCTTTTGCCCTGACCTATGTCCCAAGCCCTGCAGACTGCTGCCCTCAGAAACCCAGCATCTGCTAGCCCTGGAGTAGCCTAAATCACAGCAATAAATCCTGACTTTGGCATCCTGTGAATAATGTGCAAAGTACTTTCACATCCGTCTTCCCGCTCCAGCCCTGCCTCAGTCCTGATAGTTCGGTACCTTCTCTCCATGGCAGACATGTGAGATACGTGAGGCCCAGAGGCCAACTGATGTGCCCAAAGCCACCGTCCCCATGCCAAAGCACGACAGAGTCCCTCACTTTTTGATTCCGTCAAAGTATAATTGTTATCACATGTCAAAGGTTTATTTAATTCGTTAACAAAGGAACCAGAAGAATGGAAAGCTGGTTCAGAGGAACATTTGAGAGACAGAGATTTGTGTTTTTAGTTGGAAAAGACCTCCTGGAATAAGTTTAAGCTGGTTAATTTACAGGACAATAAAACCATAACTTTTGTGGTTCTGTACTGGACTAGAAACCTTTGCATCTTCACATCCAAGCACATACCTATTTATACACACTACAAGTGAGCATGTAGCTTCACAAAGTCAGGACACAAGTCAATAGTAAATTGTAAAATAGATATTTAATTTTTCCCGAGAGAATGAAATAACTCTTAGCTGTTCAACCTTGCCCCACAACGACATTGAAAAGACACGCAGTCCTTCCGCCCATGCCCAAGTTATGGATAGTTTTTTTCTTTCTTTTTTTTTTTAAGATTTTATTTATTTATTTGACAGAGAGAGACACGGCGAGAGAGGGAACACAAGCAGGGGGAGTGGGAGAGGGAGAAGCAGGCTCCCCCCGAGCAGGGAGCCTGATGTGGGGCTTGATCCCAGGACCCTGGGATCATGACCCGAGCCGAAGGCAGACACTTAACGACTGAGCCACCCAGGTACCCCTCGATAATTTTTCTTAACAGTTCAGAGCACTCTCTTCCTTGCTCACTCCCCCTGCCTAGTGCTCAACCCTGAGATTTGCAATTTGAAATTCATCAGCTCATCTGTTCTCATAACCCACAGAGCTTTGTGCATGTCAGCTTTTGCAGCTGGCTGTGTGGACCTGCCCAGACAGGGCCTGCTGGCTCCTGCGGTGGTGATATTCCTCGGTCCAGAGCAGCCTTTGCTGAGATGTCTTTTGTGCATAATAATAACACTACTCGCAGTGTGTTTTCCCACAGTTGACTTATTTAAGCTCTGTAAGAATTTTAAGTGGTAGGCAGCCTGGCAAAACCCCTACCCTTGAAGATTAAAAAAACCCAAACTCCTGAAGGTCACGTGATGGTAAGAGGCACAAGTAGGAAGTAGCAGAGCCCCAGCCTTGAACCCAGGGTCACATGCTTGTTTTCTGGGGCTGCCTTCCTGCTTCACTAACATTCGGAGATGGACGGTGTTTCTGCCAGTCTCCTTAACACTCCCCTCCCTGTTACTCTTCTCTCTGCACCACCTATTCTTGGGGCTCACCTGTTCCCCTAAACCCAGCCCTTTCCGTCCCCCTGTGATAGGAAAATTAGTTGTCCTGGGTTCTCTTGACTTAGGATCTAGCTGGGATTCTAATGGCTAGCTTCCTGAGGGTGCTAATGACTTATGAAGGCCCTGAGGAGGGTTTGCATTTTCACAGACTTCCCTCCCTCTCTTGAAGTGTGGGGGAGGTTTTCATAATACAGCCTACCTTCTCTGGCCTCACATGTCAGGCTCCGTGGTTCCTCCCACAGCCCACCATCCTCGGCAAGGGTGGTCACCATGTCTTTTTGCAGGTGAGGAAACCAGCAGAAAGCTGAAACGAGTCACCCAAAGTCACATAGCCAGTCAAGTGGAAGAGCAAGGACCTGGAACCAGGACTTAGGATTCTCAGCCTCTCATACCCTGGCACCTAGACTTGACCACTGAGTGGAAGGTGCGGTTTGGGAGGCCAAACCAGGTACGAGGCGGGGGCAGGGGGGGCAAATATACAGAGACACTTAAGGGTTACTAAACCCAGAAGGCAGGGTTTAAAAATCTCTCCATCCCAGCCCAGTGCAGCAAGGAACATTTTCCTGAGCCTCCATGGTAGCCCTGGCAGCCCAACTCTCTGGAGCTCCCTCCAGTCCTCCACACAATTTCTCCTTGACCCCGACTCTGGAAGCCTTGCACCCCAAGCTTTCTTATCCCTGGAAATTATCCTGTTGTGGTTATATAGCCTGCCTGACAGAGGCAGAAGGAGAAGCCAGAACTTCCCACACTCCACCCAGGACCTGCTTCCCTGCTTGCTTCCCTTTAGTCTGCTCATGTGGCAGCCAGAGCCATCCTAACGAAATGCCAGCCAGACCTCATTCCTTCTCCATTCGGGGCCTTGGTGGTTCCTCATTTCACTCGAGTGAAAGCCCAAGTCCTTTCAAGATCCCCTGCCCCGTTTCCTCCCTCAGTTCCTCTCTTACCACTCTCCCCCTGGCCTCATTGCTGTTCTTCAGACACACCAAGCACACTCCAACCTCAGGACCTTTGCACAGGTACCTGTGCCAGGCACACCTCCCTCACTTAGCCCCTTGGCTGACTCCTACAGGTCTTTGCTCAGATGTCACTTTCATTCTGAGGACTTTCCTGACCCCCCCCTTAAAATCTACCTTCCCCTTCTTTGCAGTTCCTACTCCCTTATTTTCCTCCATAGGTTCTAGCATCATCTACCATGCTATCCTTCTTTAGTGTCTATTTCCTCCTACTAAAACTTGAGCTACACAAAGGCAGAAATTTTAGTCTGTTTACCAGGACCCAGAACAGTGACTGGAACATAGTAGGGGCTTAATTATTTATTTTTCAAAAAGATTTTACTTTTTGACACAGAGAGAGGGAGAGAGCACAAGCAGGGTGCAGCGGCAGGCAGAGGGAGAAGCAGGCTCCCTGCTGAGCAGGGAGCCCAATGAGGTGGGGCTCCATCCCGGGACCCTGGGATCATGACCTGAGCTGAAGGCAGATGCCTAACCGACTGAGCCACCCAGGTGTCCTGAGGCTTAATTATTTAATGAATGAATGGTGCTCAATGATGTCAAAAGAATGAATGAATGAATGATCTATCAGAGGAAAAGTTCATTGAGGCTGTCAGATTTCAGAGGAAAGGGGTATCATTTCGGGCAGGGGGTGGGGCTGGGCAGGTGATTAGGGAAGACTTTCAGGGGGAGGTGATAAGCTCCGGGGGTCCATAGTACTTCCAGGGAAGAGTAGGATCTGAGAACAACAGCAGCTCATAGGTCACTTCTCTGCCTCTCCCTCAGAGGGGAGGAGACTGGAGTTGGAAGTGCTAATCACCCTGTGAAGAATCACTCCTCTTGGCGGTGGAATACGCACAGGGCCGTCTGTTTATTTTTCTTTTGGCCCCAAGCAGCTGGGCCTCTTTTTCACCCTAATTGCTTTGCTTCAGGTTGCTGTCATTTGCCAGGAAT